CTTTTTTTTTTTTTTTCTTTTAAAGGCATGGGAATGTTTTCCTCACTGATGACATTAGTGTGTTAGAGTAAAAGCTTTCGGTCCCAAGATTCCACAACCTCTTGAAAACATGAGTGTGGTTTCCTTCGTGCTCCAGCCAGACGGTCACGGCTTAGAGAGGAGCACGGAACTTGAAGAGCGCTTAAGAGTTAGCGTCACCCTCCAGGCTGGCAAGGGGCGTGCCGAGCCGGCACTGCTAGGAGGCCGGCCCTGGGGCTGAAGGAGGCCAGAACCCTGGTCATGATGCACCGCCAGCATGCGTCCGCTCGCCTCCTGCTCCCACTGGGCTGAGAGCTGCGACCTGACAGCCCGTTGTCTTACGTCCAGAATCAGTGTAGACGTGGAGCATCGCTGTGCGCACGAACGACGACGAGGCACAGGGCGCCCGGGGGAGTCAGTCCGTTAAGCGTCCGACTCTCGATGTCCGGCCAGATTCCTAGCAGTGCTGGCTCGGCACACCCCTTGCCGGTCTGGAGGGTGAGGTCACGATCTCACAGTTCGTGGGTTCAAGCCCCAGCGCAGAGCCTGCTTGGGATTCTCTCTCCCTCTCTCTACCCCTCCCCTCCCCTTCTCTCTCCCTCTCTGCTCCTCCCTCATTTGTACTCTGTCTCTCTTTACCTCTCTCTCCAAATACTTAAAACAATGAGAGGTGAGTGGGTGAGTGAAGCCACAACCAGTAGAGTCAACTTGCTGAGCGGTCAACAAGTTTCCAGCCCTGTACTGTCCACAGGGAAGGAGTGCAGGCCACCTTCTTTCAGATGGCCACTGGGAACCGGAGTCCAGCCTGGGGCCAGTGGCCCGAGAGAGGAGCTCCCCCGGGTTAGTTTGTCTGCACCCTGCTCTCCTCCAGGGCCCTCAAAATAAGTAACAGACCCCGAATCAGAATTTCCAAACGTTTCATAGTTTTTAACGACTGAAAAACCCATAAAAGTCAAGGAAACATCATCTTTTTTTTTTTTTTTTTCCAACTTCTTCAAATAATTAAAATACGGGCAAGCTATGAGGTGGTCAAGCAGGACATATTCTTTAATGCCACGGGAACTGCATTTTAAGTAGGCCCCACTGAGGCAGTTTATTTCATAAGGCTTGTTTTGTGATATGGGCCACCCTGATCTTAAGGTTACTGTTCCCCCACAAAAACTTCCAGAAGGTCACGTGAGGTCCCTTGCCATGGGAGACCCTCTCAGGCTCCATCCACCCTGCTTCTTCCATCCACATCCGTCTCCCCCACTCTCTCCGAATCCTTCACCGTAGCCCTTTGACCACATAACCACGTATGCGATTTCACTGCTCCGAGGGATCTGGACTGTACGTGTCCCACCGCTGTCCACGTGCACATGGCAGGCACTGCCGTATCTCTTTAACCGAACCCGCCAGTCACGTCCCTTGTAGAGCAGCAGTAACGGGGAAGACTACTTGGATCCCGGTATTTGGTTCTCATCCCAAAAATCACATGTCGGAATGCTTCTGAGAAACCGTCACTTGTTGCTCAGAGTAGTCAAGAGTATAAATAACTCATAAAAGATCTGTTTTTACAGTGGGAAGACTAGTCCATAGACGGAGTAGGCGTGCACACGGAGACATTTCTGAGCCGTTCTCTGCAAAGCTGCGGCGCAAGCCCGAGCAACAGGCTAGAAAGCGCAGAGGGTCAAGGAGGTCAAATTTAAACATATTTTCCCAAACTGCAAATATTTTTAGTAGCGATACATTCCATGTGAAAGAGTCGGGCCGCCTGCTGTGAGCTGGCAGGGAGCCCCCATGGTCTCCCCTGGGACGCCAGCCTCTAGGTCTCAAACTTGCAAGCAGACGAACGAGCGAGGGCTTGGGCTTTTCCTTTACAGACATCCGAACGCGTGCCCATCCACCAGCCCCACTTAGTGAGACAGGTGTGAAAGGCGAAAGAAGTACAGTATGTGATGTTTCTTTTGTTTTTCCACTTCCCTCACAACAACAGAAATGGTCCTCAAAGGAATCGAGTCAGATTCCGAGGACAGAGAGCGTGGGGGGGCGGCCGACTGTGCTCTCGTGGTCTTGCGCCCACCGTGAGCAAGTACGGCGAGGTCTGATTACATTTCCATTCTGGAGCGACAGAATGTGATTTCACTTCTGAGGCATTTTCATGGAGAGGAAAGGAGTGGTCCAGTGGGTTCCTCTCCTTCCAGGGCTGAGCTAAGACACAGAAACAAATCTTCAACCCAGACCGGGTTCGGAGCGGAAAAGGGCCATCGGTCCCGCACAGCTGATGGCCCAGCCGTCCAGGCTGTCCAAGGAGAGAGCGAGAGCCACAAGCTGTGGGCTGCGCCTCTGCTGGCCTGTGTGGCTGCAGGTGGCCTCGTCTTTTTCAGCGTGTCTGCTTATTCCTAAACGAGACTAGTAGTGTCCGTCCCACCCATTGTTAGGGTGGGGAAACAAAGCATGCGGGGGGAAATCAGTAAAACTTTTAAGTAGATGTCAGTTAGCTCCGCGCTTTTTCACCTGACCTTCTGCTACTAGGAAAGAAAGGAGATTTTCTGTTTCGTTTCTGCGGCGTTTCTCGTGTGAGTGGAGGCACTACCGTTCTCTCCTCTGAAACTACACAACATTTCTTCTTTTAAGTATAGGAAATACCCTTTGCTTGAATAACGTTATTTTCAAGATTGGGCTTTGATCACCTAAACACAAAATCAGTCTGGGTTTATAGGCTACTTAGGCGAATCTGGAAAACATCCAGACTGAAAGGAAAAGAAGCCAAGAGGGAAAGAGCTCGTTCTGGCACGTTCTCAGGAATACCAGTTTTGAAACATGATCTCTTTTAATTACCCAACACTGCCTCACCACAAAGGAATGGAATTGACCTTTTAACAACAACAACAAAAACCCGGCTGATATCTTTGCAGAAAACAAGTCTGGAGACTTCAGATGAAACTGTGAACCGTGCATCTGTAAGTGGCTGACTGGGGAGCTAAATGCAAAACCTGCAGTGGTACAGCGCCTGCCTGGGCTCTTTGTCTCTTACAAACGGCAGAGGAGCCTGGACGTCTGGTTTCGCGAACGCACCGAGACTGCGTTTCTCTTCATGTTTCCCAAACTGCAGGAAATAGCGCACTTTTGTTTGCTTGTGGCACTGCTCATCTCAAAATGCTTTTCAGAGAAGGGATTTCTACTGAAATCTTTCTTGGGGCACCTGGGTGGCTCAGTCAGTTAAGCCTCCGACTTCGGCTCGGGTCACGATCTCATGGTTTGTGGGTTCGAGTCCCTCGCTGGGCTCTGTGCTGACGGCTCAGAGCCTGGAGCCTGCTTTGGATTCTGTGTCTCCCTCTCTCTCTGTCCCCTCCCCTGTTCGTGCTCTCTCTCTCTCAGAAATAAACAAACATTAAAAAAAAAAAAGTCTTTCTTTAAAAATCGTGACCT